TATAGTTAGAGATATCATTTTCTGAACCTAAAACCCCGTATCACGATCATTATATTTTTGTTTGATCCTTTATTGGATAATAATATGTGATTTATTATTTTTTATATTAAAATATTTGAAATTTTTATCATTTTTTTTAGATATTTGAGTATGTTTATAATTTTTTAATATAAATTATAAAACTGCATATAATTACCGGGTCATGCGGTTGAACCAGTGACCCACTGGTGAACCAGTGACCCAATGACCCAATACCTCGACCGGGTCATTGACCGGGCCGGTTTTAATAACATTGCTTCTATACATTCATAAAAGTGTGTGAGGCCTAGGGATGTTAATGAGTCGGGCTTGAGCTTTGGTCTTGAAAGGTTAAGTCTGTGTTTAAATATGTCAGACTGGTCTAGTCTGTAAACTGTTATGAATATAATTATATGTACGTGGCCTGACTTATTAAAAAAAAAATTCTTAGACTGTTAAAAAAAAATAGACAATAAAAATTTATCCAAACAGAGTATATGATCAACAGCACTAATAATTTCACAAAAATTTATAAATTCATTTTTTATCCAAACAACATAATATAAAATAAAATCATTCAAAAAACCTACTTAACTAATAAACGAAAGTAGAATGATGCTGGAGCACGAAAAGGAAGTGAATATTAGGTTGAGTTTAATAAATCATTAGTGTAAAAAATAAAATAAAAATAAGAGTTAGTATATCAGGTCAGTCTAATAAGCTATAATGTCAATCTTTTGAATTGAAACCTGAAACTTTTTTATTAAATGAGCTTTTACACAAGTCCAAGTATGCATCCAACAACCAAAATAGATGGACCACCCCAGACCAAAGGCTCCTGGCTCTTTTAACACCCCTAGTGGGGCCTATATGGGGCCATGTGAAGAGATGAGAGAGAAAAAAAAATCCCTCACCTTTTATGTGTATGTAAGAAATAAAATTATCTCCTACAATATGAGCAACACTAATCCCTAATTTCTATTTTTGACAACTTCCTTAAATTAAGAGTTTTTAAAAATAAATTATTTCTTGAAAAATAATCATTTCCATATGCATGCTATCTCACTCGTATCTTTATATATGTTTTTTAAACACACTGTACTCCCAATGGTTTTCTGTGTATATCTATCTACCTTTACCTTTTAATATGACTTGTATTACGTCAGATCGAACTTTTGGTTTGCAATTTTTGCTTGGATAGAACATTTTTCTTTTCTATCGTATGTTATATTTGGAGTGCAAGAGTGTAAAAATTTATGCATATATTGAATCAAATATCTAATTCTAATAAGGTGCAATATATGGTAGGTCAAAATTCAACCAAACATGGCCCTTGATTGTGAAAACCAAGATAACAAAGAATCTTATCATAGATGGCTTGATGAAAACCCATATATTTTGTGTATCTAACAAAATCTTAAGCTCCTTACATGACAAACAAAATGGGGGTGTCATACTCAAACGGTGGCTATCTCCACTTTCCTCCCTCCTCATCTTCGGCCACACAGACGGTGTTGGGTGTCTCTTTGTTGATGACAGAATCTCTCCTACAATCTTACATTGATTTTAAGTAACAGATAGCCTCATATCTTTGTGATACGAATTTTATTTTATTTTTCTTATTAATTATGAGAAGAGTTAATATTTTTAAACTTTTTGTTTACAAACTCTTATAAAACTAAACTACACTACGTATTCTCGTATTCTCGAAAGTACACTCATTTAGTAATGTACTTTTGAGAGTTCATAATATAATTTGTATAAATTTGTAAAAAAAAGTTTATAAACAGATCATTCCCCATTCATTATTGTTCCTCCCTCTTGAAATTGATGTGCAGTTTGTTGTGCCTTGAGCATATGTGGGTCCCCAAGAGAAAGGTTGAGATAGCTTTCCTCATCAGCATGACATAGAGATTTAAGCAGATTTTGAAGCTACCATATGGTGTATATATATATACAATTATATTGACCTCTCAACTTGTTTTCAGCACATCTTTCGCTTTCTTTCCTATGCATGGGATCTAAAGTTTTCTAAAATTAAGAAATTAAGACAATTGATTGGTTATCCTTATCTAAAGTGTACACTCGGGGGCATCAATTTTAATTTTTTTCGTCCTCTTTTAATTGGGATTCAATTCATTGCTGTTACTTACTTTTTTTTTTTTTTTTTTTGGTACATTACCGGGAGGTATTCCCATTCAACCTTCTTCGGGCACCATGCCCTCGGGATACGGCCCGTTTGGGCTAGCCCCTCATTGTAACAGTAGGTGCACTAAGCTTCGCAACCGGAGAAAGGACGAGACTAATCCCCCAACCGAAGATTTTTTGGCTTATCCTCTGGCCCCTAAAGATTTTCCAAGAAACTGCTTGAGGCAGGGTTTGATCCCTGCACCAAGCAATCCCTTGCTGTTACTTACTTTAAGGTACACAGCTAGCATGTAACTTATTGTCATTTATATAAATTAACGAACATTTGATATATAGGGAAAAGATATTGTGACAACTAAGTTGTGTTACTACCAAGTGACTACCAATCAATCTCACCGTTAGATCGATTATGTTAATCCAACAGTTATATTTATTTTTATCTTTGTATAGTCATGATTCCCCATATTTAAAGTGAAAGCATTAAATATGAGAAATCATAACCATACAAAGTTGAAAATAAATATAAAGTATTAAATTTGAGGAATCATGACCATACAAAGATAGAAATAAATATAACCGTTAGATCCATATAATCGATCTAACGGTAGGATTGATTGGTAGTCATGTGGTAGTAACACAACTTGGTTGTCACAATATCCTTCTCCTGATATATATATATATATATATAAAACTGTCTATTATCAAACCAAGAATTTTTTGCCATGTGTCATATATATCTTCATAAATTAATGGCTCAAAACATAGCAAAAGAAAAACATGAAGCCAAGTTTGATATTAGAATTGCATGTGAAAGTGTGAAACAAAACAAATGCTTGTGATTTGTGAAGGAAACTAACCATTGAGAATTGTTAAGCTTTAAGTAATCCAGTTGTATCCTTGCTTATAGTCATTTTCTCCAAGATTAGCCCGAAAGCATTAATTTATGAGACTCAACATGCACATGCCTTACGTGTGTTTCACCAAATTAAGAATCCTGTTGATCTCATCCCTCAATAAAATGTAAGTGGCATATATATGACTCCTCTAAATGTTTTTCCACTCCCTGAAAATTTGCTTCTAAAAATGCACATCGAGTGCAATATTCCAATCTTCCAATATTCAAATCTGCTCTAAGAAGATATATTTATAGAATAAACTATTTACTTTTCCTCTTCTGTTTCAAATAAGATGGATAACATACCTACTAAAGTGCTAATTAGTTTGAAATTTTCTTTAAATAATTTTTATTAATAAATATAAAATATAACCGTAAGGCCTAATCTTTGGAAGTTGGAGAACATAAATGTGTGTGAGACAGAGACCTAATTTTTTCTCTCTCTTCTTTTCACATGGTCCATAAAATAAAGGGCAAGAAAAGTTGTGACTAAATTTAAATACTAATTTCATACTCCTATATTTGTGAAGTTACAAATTTTGAATTGATAATTTTAAAAGGGATAAGATATTGTACAATCAATAAAGAATAATTTGAAAGATGATAACATATTTTATCATTGTTTATTTATTTTAAAAAAATTTAAATAAGAAAAGATTTACTTAAAATTTTTGTGAATAATATATTATGTCTATTTTTTCATGCATACTCTGTCTACTCTTCTTTAATACTGTTATATCATAATCTCGAAAAGAGAAAATAGATAAATATTAGTTGAAAATGTAATCTAACGATATTGGAGAAAAATAAATAAAATATATATAAAAAATATAGACATAATATCTTATCATAAATTTTTTATTTTATTTTTTTTTTCATTTATTCTCCATCATTTTGAAGTTCAAAGTTCAAACCAAATGGTGGTTTTTTTTTTCCTCTCTCTCTCTTTACTATACTTCCGTGGCTACTTGTTCATTCTGACCACTAAGTATGGCCTTTTGCACTTTAATAAATCTTTGTCACCATTATTTTGCTCAAAATTCAAGAAAACGCAATGATAAAAAAAAATTAAAAGAAGAGGGGAGGGGATGGTGTGGGGGGTTTCTTACGTTTGTATATGAATTACCTGCACAAAAATTAAATTGAAATAAGCAAGATTAAAGTTTTTTGGCCTATTTCATCAATGCTTATGACAATATAGGAATAGGTACACACAATTTCTGAGTTGTCCTTATAATTTCATAGTATTTTATAAAGGAATCTATTAATCTCATATTATATGACATAATTATCTCATGTAACAGAGATAAAATTGTGAGGTCCATTACTTTTTAAAAAAAAAATAATGAATCTCACTATTTTGTCTTTGTTGCGTGAGATAATTATCTCATGCAACATGAGATAATTATTTCCTTTTTACAAGTGATAAAATCAACATAATCTAAACAAAAAATAAGTAAGCATAGATACAGAAAATTTTGTCGCTTTTATAGTCCTGCTTAATTGACCAAATTAATCTATTAATCGATCAATAGGTGGAGAAATAAAAAAGAAAAAGAAAAAATTGTATTGTTCTTCTTCATTTGTTAATTTTTGTTAATTTTTTCCTCAAAGATCAAATGAAAGCAATCTGGGGTTGAGTGAACTGAAACAAAAAAAAAAGGTAAAAAAAAACCTATGAATGTGTTGTGGTGGGTCATCATCATTAGGAAGAGTTTTTCAGGGAAAAAAAGAAAAGAAAAGAAAGAAAAAGTAATCAGCATAAGTGGGGCCCAAAAAAAAAAAAAAAAGCCAACAAAGGTCCACTCCCAGAATTGAAAAGAAACAAACAACCTAAGATGACACTGTCTGCCAAAACTGTCTCTTAGCTACTTTTAGAACTAAAAAAAATGATTTAGAGAGAGAAACAGCATCTACAACTTGGCTTGAGAGAGAAAGATAGAAAGTTCATGAGAGTCGATCTAGGAACAAAATGAGGAGGTTGGAGCGATAATTTGGGCGATAAATTAGTGAATACTCTATCATTCATACTTTCTATATAGATTTTCATGGTTTGAATTTTGAAAAGATATAGGCTTTTTTTCTTTTTTTGTTTCTTAAGCTTTTTTTTTTTTTTTTTGGGTATATTAATTTGCATCTCAGACATGAAACTTGAATTTAGAAAAATCCTAAATCTTTCATATACTTTTCTCTCTCCTCATCTTCTTCAGTGTTAGTTAGCTCAATAGTTTGGGTGTTTGTTACACAAATTCCACAACCAGTGAGATTTTACAGGTAAATATTCAAGTACTTTTTTAGATTTTGCTCTCAGATTATGGTTCCGAATTCTAGGCTTCTGATATCAAACATTTGACTCTCTCTCTCTCTCTCCAAATCTTGTGTATCTGGATTTTGCTTTTAAATTTGGTCTTTAAAAGGATTAGCTTTGGAAAAAAACCACACCAGAGATAGTTGTTGCAATGCAAGCATTTTGAGCCCATAGAACACTCTTTTAGTCTTTTTATCTTTAAATGGAATATGATACAACAATGGCTCAAGAAGATCAAATCAGAAGCTGTAGCAATGGTGGTAATGGTGGTGGTAGATCTTCCAAAAAGCCAAAGCAGAAAAAGGTGCCACAGAGAGGACTTGGTGTGGCACAGCTTGAGAAAATAAGACTAGAAGAACAGCAAAAGAGAGATTCAGTTTCAAATTTATCATCTCTGGCAGATAACAATTTTCATCATTCTCACCAAATTTCTTCCACAATCCCTCCTTTACCTTCTGGATCACCACCTGAATTTAGGTCCCCTTTATCAATACAGCACATAGATGCTGTTCCAAGCACTGTTCCATTGGCCAACAGTGGTGGCTTTGAGGCTGGTTGGCCTCCTGTTTCAAATGTGCCCAAGTTGTGGAGCCCCAATGAGTTTGATTTGGAGAAGGACAATCTTGGGGTGGATTCAGGAATGTCCTTTCTACCAAGTTTGCCTTTTGCATCATCCAACCCTATCTGGCCTCTACCCAATTGGGGCCAGAGAACACCACAGTATCATCAACAACCTTCATCATTGGTGAGATATGTTTTATAAGTTTGATCTTTCTGTGTGTCAATAATTCCTATGATGGGGTTTTGATTTTTCTTTCTCTCTTCTGGAACATGTAGGTGAGTGTCTCATCAGGAACTTCATCAACACCTGTGCCTCACTTCTCCTTAGAGCCCCCTTCAAACCAAAACTATAGTGGCAGCAGTGGTGTGCCTATGAAGCCTGTGGAGAAGGTATTTGCAATTTTATGTTGTTAAGATAATTCACCTGTGCCTCATCTGCATGTTTGATTTACAGATAAGTGTTTTATAATAGTAGTAATACTTTCCTCTTCCATATGGCTAAAATTCAATGCTTGTTTTGTTGAATATTCACATCTTAAATAATCATGCATGTTCTCAACGAATTCAGTAAAATTTTGAACTTGATACATTTTTATGGAAGATATTTTCCTCAGAATTTGTTTTTATGAGTGTAGGTGGTTGGCATGAAAAGGCCATACCCTTTCTCCCTGGATTTTCCACATGCGCCCGCTTTCAATTATAATTTGCCTACCTATGCTGAAATAAGAACAACTGCAAACACTTCATGTGGGAGTGGAAGTGGATTCAACTTTGATCCTTGCAATTCAAATTCCAGGTTGTTTTAGTTTTAATCTTTTGGTCCTTATGTTATAGTTGCAACTATAGTTTGCTCATATCATGTGTTTCTGCATCATCTGCAGAGAGGTCCCTTCCTGTTCAGTTTCCAACTCAGAGCCAAACACTGAGAAAAGGAATAAAGATACTGAGAATTTCAATGGAGATTTTCTCACCTTGGCTCCTCCCACTTCATCTTCATCTTCAAAGTTCAAGTCTTCTTCAACTTTCCTAGCATTTAACAACCAAGAATGTCCTGAATATGAATCTCTATCTTCTCAGGTTTGGACAAACTCATTAGTCTTTTTTTTTTTTGCTAATTTCATTGTTCATTCCTAAATTCATTTTTCTTTTTTTTTTTGCAAAAGGAACATATAGAAGATCAAATCCATACCCCATCAGGGTACAGGCTATTCAATCAACAAAAGCAACCATTGTACAGCTTCTTCCTTCCAGCAGCTAAGGAGGGACAAATTGGACAAACCACAGCCAGAATTCAGAATTGTCATGAAGTTGGAGAAAGTATTGATCTTAATTTAAAGCTATGAATACATCACTTTTAGGACAGTTGTTCCTCACTATGAAACTTGCATAGTCGTAGTTGATTTTTAATTTTACAAGTGGTAGATATTTCTAAATTTGCACATGTAAGGTTGAGTATGAAAAGGACTAGAATGTGAGAAGGAAAGTTGAGATGTTAATTAGTTTCTTTGATTTGAGTTGCTAATGCATATGTGTTTTATTGAGGCCAAACTTTAGTTGTGTACCTTTGGGGCTAAGTTCCTTTTTCCTTTTTTTACTTTTTTTCCTGTTTCCTTTCTTGGTTATTGTAGTCTATGATCAGTGCCTGGTTGGATGAGTCAGGAACTGTAGGGGTAACAAACTTTTGCGTGTGGGTTGTGGAGGTGTCATTTAGAAATTATAAATAATCTAACGAGAAAATTGTCTATGAAAAAAAAAGAAAATATACTCTTATGTTGTAGTATTTTTATCTCCTACACATACATCGATTTTCGTATTATTTTCTTCTCTTTTTTCTTTTTCTATAAGTGGGTGGGTTCCACATATGATTGTATCTATAGCATGAGAGAGCTCTCTCCTATTGCATAAGATTAATAAAGCTCATGAAAAAATGATGAGTTAATCAAGATTATCATATTTTTTAATGACTAACTATTAAAAAGGTCAGGATGATTTTACAGTTGTGTAAATTATACTCTCAATCATATCTCCTCTTAAAATTATATTTGAAAGTCATATAATTATCACATGACTATTTGAATAAAGGGATATGTTATTCTTACATTGGTAGGGGAGTTTTATATTTTTGCTGCATACGGTTTCCTAGTTGATCATGTTTGGTAGGAATTTTTAAATAATTTGCATAGCATTCTCATTTGCATAGGCATCTAACTTTATGTGTAAAATTGGGGCAAAAACACTATCTAGGAATACCACCTAGAAGATAGTATTTTTGAATTACCAGAAAAATACAAAAAGAAGCCTACCCTTAAATTAATTTTTCCAGTAATATTTTGGCTTACTAAATAATTTTTTTTAAATTTTTTCAAAAACTTCAGATTTTTACCATATTCTCAGTAATTATATTTTTCTGGTAAATTATTTTTTCTCTTCTATCAAACATCCCCTACCATAAAAATAAGAAGTTTTACATCTTACATCTCTCATATATAATAAATTAAATATAAATAGCATCAAGGGTCAAAATTGAAAATATAACCAATGTAAAATGATTCTCACCCCGAAAAAAATAACGTATGGCTGACGCATTGCGATATTAAATGAGGGATGTTTTATTGTGTTTCATGCACCTATCAATTATCATATTTGATCTCATAGATCTTGCTAATATATATATATATATATATTTTAAAGCAAATAATGAGAACACAAGCGAGAAAACAAAAGGTTTGGAGACAAGGGTGATAACATTTTTTAATTGAAAAGGACTTGTTTAGGGCAACATTTATTCTGAACAACCTATTGATGTGGAATAATGTTCTATAACATTAGTAACGAGTCTTTGTATATATGTATTAATTTAAGGAAAACCATTAAAAATGGGATACTGGTGAAACATTTAAGTAAAATTATTATTTAAAAAAATTAATAAATAAATTCTAAGTTCCTAACAAATTTCACCCTCAGTCCCCCCCCCTAAGATTTGGCAGTTACAAATTGAATATGAATTTAATAGCGTAAATCAGTTGTTCGATCTTATTAATAGGAATATATTTATAGAGATTTTTCGTTGTATTATAATAAATATATATATCGGGTGGTTCTTCCAATATTACTTTCTTCGTTTTCAAGATTTGAACTTGAGATATTTGTATAATAAAAAGAAGTTTTTTCTACCACTTATTAATAAATGTTTAGTTCCCCATGAAATCCAAAAAATAAAAATTAATAAAAATAATAAATAATGAAGGTTATTTTTGAGTCAATGTAATAAATATATATTTTGCTGGTAACAAAATAACATGAAAAGATTGTTGAATAAATTTGAATTAGACAAAATGTTAAGTGATAGTGATCTGGATAAAATATGATAAGGCCTATCAAAGGCCCACATACATAAGGACGAGGCCCAAACCCGTAAAGCCCAGGGTGAGGCGCGATGACTTCCATCGCGCATGACAGGACGCGATGCTATCATCGCGCACGAAACCCCCTTTTAACATACCTTCAGAGACAAGGAAGCTAACACAGAAACTAATAAAGGTCCACCGCGCCATTTAACAAATAAACAGAGGACAACACCCGCTTGCCACTACTCTATCAAGATAGCTTGACATAAAAAGATAAGGCTATGAAGGCACCTGCTGAACCTGCAACCCAGGAATAACCAATCAGAGGCAACACCGCCTCCTTGAGGCGGCATTAGAATTCCTATATAAACAAAGGGTACATGCCCAGGTATGACAAACTAATTCAGTAAGAATACACATACACCTGTCATTGATACTGACTTGAGCGTCAGAGTGTCATCGCAGGTACCCTCCAGTCTGAATCACCGCGCCGAAGGAGAACCAGAATCCTCACATCATCAACTACAACCTCAAGCCCAGGAAGCTGATCATCCCAAAGGCCTTCTCCATCAACAGTGTGTGATTCGGCCTAGTACACATTAGCCAGCCCATACTGCATTTGGTCCAATCATTGGCGTCGTCTGTGGGAATTCTTCATCTAGAACCCATCTCTTTATAATATAAAAATATGGTTGATACCAGAAGCAAATCTCAGAATGGCTCCAAAGGGAAGCAGAAGGAGACACTTGCCTCCCGTGAGAAATCACCCTCGTCGGTGGCACCAATCTTCGTGCACCACGATGACCCACCCACAACTCCACATTTGTTGAAACTCATCACTCAGCAAAACAAAAAAATTGCCCAACAGAATCGAGATTTAGCTCGATTAAAAAATTCACAAAAAACTAGAGAGAAAAATCAAGAAAGAGAAAAAGAAAAACAAAAAGAACCTGAGAAAGAAGCTGAAAAAGAGCTTGAAAACTCCGGCGAAAGTGAGCCGATACATTAACATTCAAAACAAGATCCTGGACCTTCTGGTCATAACGAAAAAGGAGAGGAAGAAAAAGAAACCAACGATAATTCTCAGGGAAATTCTAGAACAGTTTCACGTATCTTTCACCCATCCACCCCATGTATCATGAACATCCCTATTCCTAGGGATGTAAAAATTATAATTGAGAAGTACAACGAAAAGGGAGACCCGCAAGAACATCTCGAACAATTCTAGACGAACATGATGGCACAGGATGTAGCTGATCCAATAGCTTGTCGGTTACTCCCAACAACCTTGAAGGAGGTAGCGCTTAGATGGTACTCCGCGTTACCACCTAATTCAGTTCAAAGTTGGGAGGATTTAACTAGCTAATTCCGTATAAGGTTCACAACAAGCAAAGCACACTACAAATCCACACATGCCTTGAAAACTGTGCGACAAGAAACACACGAAACGCTGCGCGATTACCTCAATAGGTTTTTCGACGAAGCACTCTTAGTAAAGGACCTGGATCCACAAGTTTTCCTACACCTCATCATTGAAGGATTGCTGGAAGGTCCTTTCTCTATGTCATTGGCTAAACAACGCTCGCGTACCATAGAGGAACTACGAGCGCGATCAGAAAAATTCATTAATCTTGAGGATTATAAACGGTCGCGGGATACTTCTAGTATTAAGATAGACGTGGACAATTTCGAAAGAAATGTCCAAAAGAATTTTCAAAGAAAATTCCGCGAAAAAAGAAAATGGGAGAGGTTTGATAATTATACTCTCTTGAACACATCCCGAAGACATATTTTGAAGGAAGTCTTCCAAAGTGGTTACGTGCGCGTTAACAAACCTCCACCATTGAAAAAATGAGGACAGCGCGATGAGACCAAATTTTGCGAGTTTCAAAATGATACAGGGCATACCACTGATGAATGTTTTGATTTGAAAAATACTATTGAAACACTTATAAGAGCAGGCAAACTTCAAGAATTTGTTTCTAGTTGCAGATAATATAAGCCGCAAAGAAGACGCGATATAAGTCCTGATCGCGATCAAAATCCTAATCGGCAAAGAGCATGTCTCAGGAGAGATTATAACCCTGCCAGAAATAATGATAACAGGAACGCGCATGATGATCCCACTGATAGACGTCAAGGAACTCCAACGCGCAATAGACAGCAGGCCGCCCAACAGCACCAGCTGCCCAATAAAGCTGCCGGAGTGTTAGCCACCAACACTGGCGGAACTGCTGGAGGAGGAGCAACTAGCTCACAACGAAAGAAACATCTGAAATCTGTCATGACAGTTCGCGATTATGCCCAGCCATCTACATCCCGCGTCAAATGTCAACTATAATTTTTGATGACGATGACTATGGAGACATCGTTCCTAACCATGATGACCCACTAGTGATCTCCGCCTGCATGGCTAACCTCTAGGTAAAATGTATTATGATTGATAACGACAGTTATGCCGACATAATTTTATGGGATGCTTTTTGCGCCATGAACATCCCAGAGGAACATCTAATCCCTGGATGTTCGGATTTAATTGGATTCTCCGGAGAATGCGTGCAACCCAAAGGTACCATTGAAATATGGGTAACCTCTGGAATCATGCCTCTGGCTCGTACTATTAAAGTACGTTTTTACGTTATTGAATATGCATCTGCATATATTGTCATCCTGGGACGACCAACCATTGTCGCTTTAAAGGTAATCATTTCTATGCCTCATCTTTTGATGAAATTCCGAGATCCCTCTGGTGCTGTTGTTGCTATTAGAGGTGATCAGAAAGCATCTCGTAGCTGCTACAACACCAGTTTGCGGGCCAAGTCTGCAACTCAGCGCGATGGCAAAGGAAAGGCATCGATCAATATGACTAATTTGGACATGCGTGAAGATCTACGCGATACACGCCCCCAGCCTGATGGGGAATTAGAGGATCTCCAACTTGGTCCGTTGCCTGAAAATGTTACCAAGATTAGACATCACCTTCCGGAGATGGAGAAGAAAGAATTGGTGGCAGTACTACTTAAAAATAAAGATCTTTTTGCTTGGACAACAGCTGATATGCCAGGAATAG